TGGAAAGTATTGGAACAATAGGTGTTTCAAGGAAATCCATCAGAGTCAGTTACAAAGGGATAGTAGAGGTAACAGGAGGCCTCATTATTAAAAGAAGATCCTCAATTTAACATGTTTCTATTTTATACTTATGTACACATAGACTTTTTGCAATTAGGTCTTTCCTGATAGTTAAAAGACAATCATTTGTAATTTAAAAATGCAAGATAAGAAACCATCCTAAAAAAAGTGAGAACACAAGTGACTAAATGAAAAAAAAATACTTGTATATCATAGGTAAAGGATTAATCATATGTAAAGGACTTCTAAGACAGGATTAGAGAGCTGGGGCTGTAGCACAGTGGTAGAGTGCCCACCTCACACATGTGAGACACTGGGTTTGATTCTCAGCACCACATAAAAATAAAGATTTTTAAAAAACTATATTAGAAAAAAGATAAACTTTCTAATGAGAAAAKGAAATACAGATTTTTTTCACCACATATACATACCCAATTTTATACATAATAAAAGGAGTGAAGTAATGTGGAATACCCCCTCTGACCTGGTAAATGGTCAAAAATTCAAAATTTGACAATCTGACAGTGGGATAATGTGGAAATAAGCACACTCACACTTTGTGCAGATTTGACTATAACTAGCAGCATTATTCTTTGATGTAGTTATCTCAATTCTATAAAGTTTCCCAAAGATACTTAGGCAAAACTATAAAGAGTTGTTGCACAAAATTATCCATAACAGTTCTATCTGTAAGAACAAAATAARATAGCATCAAAAAACTGGATATAACCTGTGTCCTTCAATGGGGTACTGATGAATAAACCATGGCACATTTCTAAAATGTATAAAAATGGAATCAGGTGTATCTTTATATGCTACTTTGAAGTCATCTCCAGGAATATATTGTTAAGAGATGATTAAGCACATGGAAAAAATGTGTATCATGTGGTACAATATGTCTAACTCAGGTTACAAATATAAAAAAAAAAACAAACATAGAAATAAGAACACCAGAAAAAGGGATTTCTGCTTCTGGTTAAGATGGAGTAGCATATGTCTACATAAATATTTGTTCACAAGTATTTATGGTAACTGTATTTGTATCAGAAAAAAATCTGGAAACAATTCAACAGGGTGAATGGATAAGCAAAACAATATGTCCTTGCAAAGAAAAATTTCTCTAAAATCAAAAGGAATCAAATATTGATATATATGACACCTTGAATCTCAATATGCTGAGAGTAAAGTTAGGTAAGAAATGTACACAATATGTAATT